GCTGAGGCTGCGGAGAGAAAGGCGGGAAAACGCAGTGTGAGGCACCAGCGAGAGCAGCAGCAGCAGCAGCAGCAGCAGCAGCTGCTGCTGCTGCTGCTGCTGCTGCTGCAGCTTCTGCAGCAGCTGCTGCTGCTGGTCTTTGCATGACCGCAAAGCTGCCGCAACCCGGAAGCCTCCGTGTGAGTTTCCCTGGTCCCCAGCGCTGCGCCGGAGGCTTCAGCAGGGCCTAGGGTTTAGGGCTTAGGGTTTAGGGTTTAGGGTTTAGGGTTTAGGGTTTACCGGATAAGTTTTGGATGTGGCGCCAGCTTTTCTTGGGGGGCCGCACCGACAGCAAAACTCCCTCAGTGAAAGGGTCGCTGGGATCGACCAGCTCCAGCTCTGCGTCTCCGCCTTGGCTCAGCATCTGCGCGCAAACCCTAATTTAGGGTTTAGGGTTTAGGGTTTAGGGTTTAGGGGTTGGGGCTGACGCGGGCGCTACACTCTTACACGTGCCGCAAACCCACTCGCAGCAACAGCAGCAAGACCCATAGCATTTGCTGCGTCAGCAGCAGCTGCCGCAAAACCAAAGCTTGCAGCAGCAGCAGCAGCAGCAGCAGCAGCAGCCACTGCAACAGCCGCAGCAGCAGCAGCACCACCACCACCCCTACCACCGGCAGCAGCAACAGCAGCAGCAGCAGCACCGCCACCGCCACCACCACTACCACCAGCAGCAGCAGCAGCAGCAGCAGCAGCAGCAGCAGCAGCAGCAGCAGCAGCAGCAGCAGCAGCAGCAGAAGCAGCAGCAGCAGCAGCAGCAGCAGCAGCAGCAGCAGCAGCAGCAGCAGCAGCAGCAGCAGCAGCAGCAGACCCTGTATGTTTCTTTGAGTTTGGTGGCAATGATAGAAAAAGCTGCCATGAATTCTTCTTTCCGTTTGGCCCTGAGGCTTTCTAGCTGCGTCTTTGCTGCATCTCTTGCTGCTGCTGCTGCTCGTGTCTCCTTTTCCTTGGCCAGCAGCTCCTGGCGCTTTTGCGAGAACAGCAGCAGCGCATGCAGCAGCCCCTGCTGCTGCTGCTGCTGCTGCTGCTGCTGCTGCTGCAGCTTGCTTATCGCCTCAGCGCTGTACTGCTGCAGGCTGCTTTCGCTCAAGTCAATCTGCAGCCGCTGCAGCAAAGCAGCAGCACCTGGCCCCAACTCCTCTTGCTGCTGCTGCTGCTGCTGCTGCTGCTGCTGCTGCTGCTCTTGCTGCTCCTCCTGCTGCTCGGACTCGGGGTCGACAGAGCCATCTGTCAGGGCCAAAACTGGCTCCTGCTGCTGCTGCTGCTGCTGCTGCTGCTGCTGCTGCTGCTGCTGCTGCTGCTCGGACTCGCTGGGCTCCTCCTCTTCTGCCTGTATGGTGGCGTCGATTTCCATGAGGCACTCCAAAGCAGCAGAAAACTGCCGCTGCTGCTGCTGCTCCTGCTGCTGCTGCTGCTGCAGCTGCTGCTTCAAGGAGTCGTACAGGTGCTGCGTTTCTAGCTGCAGCAGCAAGCACGAGCAGCAGCAGCAGCAGCAGCAGCAGCAGCAGGCACCATCGGTTTCTAAGAGCCAGCCATGCGGACATGAAGTGGCAGCAACAAAAGTTCTTGCTGCTAGTACTGCAGCAGCAGCAGCAGCTGCTGCTGCTGCTGCTGCTTCCCCTTCGGAGTAGAGCTGAAGCCTGTGCAAACCCGAAATCTGCTTTCCACAGTCCCACCAAGCCCAAAACCCTTAACCCTAAACCCTAAACCCTAAACCCTAAACCCTAAACCCTAAACCCTTGCTTGTGCGTCTTACAGACGCAAGAGACGTTTCCTTGAGTGTCTCCTCAAGTTGCTGCTGCTGCTTTTGCAGCTGCTGCTGCTGCTGCTGCAGCAGCTCTCGCTGCGTCTTTGCCTCCTCTAGCTTCTCAACAACTTTTCTTGCTTCTTCCTCGAGAGCAGCAAGAGACTGCTGCAGCTCCTCTGTCCTTTCCTGTTCACAAAAAAGGGTTTAGGGTTTAGGGTTTAGGGTTTAGGGTTTAGGGTTTAGGGTTTGTGCAGCCCGGCCTCGAGGGCTTAGGCCTGCAGGCCCGCTCTTCCGCCACCCCCCAGCCGCTCCCACCGCCCACTGCCCAGCGCCGAGGGTTTAGGGTTTAGGGTTTAGGGTTTAGGGTTTAGGGTTTGTTGCCTGGTGAGTTTGAATCTCCCGCTGCAGCCGGCTCTTGTCTTTATTTATCCGCTGCAGCTCTGCCCGTTTTGCTGCGACTTCTTGCTGCTGCTTTCCTTCTTTTTCTTTCAGCAAATTAAAAGCTATAAATAAATAAACAAATAAATAAATAAATAAATAAATAAATAAATAAATAAATAAATAAATAAATAAATAAATAAATTTGAATTATTAATTATCAATTCGTAGGAAATAGCCAGCTGGTGGCTGCGTACGCGTGCGGCGCACGAATCCTAAACCCTAAACCCTAAACCCTAAACCCTAAACCCTAAACCCTAAACCCTAAACCCTAGGCTCGCCTCTTTCCGCCTTGAGCAGCCTGGCCTTTCTCTTTCTCATTTCTTCTCCTCCAGCTTGCTGCAGCTGCTGCATCAGTTCATTAACTTTTGCTTCTTGCTGCTGCACTTGTTTATGAATTGCTGCTTGCGAAGCGCTGTGAGACGAGACCTGGAGGCCCGCAAACCCCAAATTAGGGTTTAGGGTTTAGGGTTTACGGTTTTAAGCGCAGCGGGTACTGCTTGGCGCAGACGAGCGGGGTTCAAACAGACTCCGCTGTCGCTGAAATACCTGCCTTTGCTGTGCAAGCAACGTAAACCCTAAACCCTAAACCCTAATCCCTAAACCCTAAATCCTAAACCCTAAACCCTAAACCCTACCTCTGCCTTGAGTTGCTTCAGTTTGTTTGCTTCTGCTTTCGTTAATTCCTCCTGCGAGGCTCTTTTTGAGCGCAACTCCGCCTCCCGCCTCTGAGCCGAAACCCTAAACCCTAAACCCTAAACCCTAAACCCTAAACCCTTAACCCTCCCGGGTTTTATGAGGTCGCAGTTCGAGATCCCGTAGCGCCGCATGAAGAATAAACCCTAAGCCCTAAACCCTAAACCCTAGCAGCCACTTCTCGCCGAACTGCGTGGCGGTGGGGTGCAACCCGATCACCCTAAACCCCAAACCCCAAACCCTAAACCCTAAACCCTAAACCCTAAACCCTCACCTGAAGCTGAGCTGCTGCTATGTCTTGCTGCAGCAGCTCAATGGCCGACTCGGCCTCAGCGCGCTGCCTCTCCAGGTGCTTTTCATTTGTAGCCAGCTCCTCCTGCAGGCACAAACCCTAAACCCTAAACCCTAAACCCCAAACCCTAAACCCTAAACCCTAAACCCTAAACCCTAGAGCCTAGAGACTAATCAAATACTGTGTGCAGCTTCGGAAGGCGTAAAGTCTTGCTTTGGTGTAGCTACCGCCAAACCTCAGTTTGAAACCCTAGAGCCCAAATTCAAAACTCTCAACTCCAAACCCTAAACCCTAAACCCTAAACCCTAAACCCTCAGCCCAATATAAAAAGTGCGTTCCATGTTTGCGTACTCTTCTGCGCTTGTGTTCGCTGATTGCGCCTTGAAGCTGTTTGATGGTTTGCTGCAGCTGCTGCAGCTCCTGCTGCTGCTGCTGCTCCGTCTCAAATGGAGCAGCAGCAGCAGCAGCAGCAGCAGCAGCTCGCTGCGTGTCAGTCCTTATGCTGCATCCCCCAAACCCTAAACCCCCGCCCACCATGCGGCCGTCCAGCTCGATCAAACCTCCTTCCAGAGTCACCACTGAGGCGCAGCAAACCCCAAACCCTAAACCCTAAACCCCAACCCCTCCTTTCCAGCTCGCACAGGCCCCAAACCCTAAACCCTAAACCCTAAACCCTAAACCCTAAACCCTGCGCCTTCCCCCGCAGCCAAAGCTGCCGCCGGCTCACCTCCGCCCCCAAACCCCAAACCCCAACCCCCAAACCCCAA